CTGGGGATGTGCCTGCAACCAAGGTACATGCCCTTGACCGGAATCGAACCCGGGACCCTTCAGTTCACAGCCGATGCTCTATCCACTGAGCCAAACCAGTTAGGGCAGAATTTGTCGATTTTATCCACATTGTCCAGCTTGTTGGCATATAGTGGTTCATAGTATTTTTTAAAATCCTTTGCATTTCTGTAGTGTCAGTTGTTAATTACCCATTTCTGTTTCTGATTTTATTTACTTGGATCCTCTCTCTTTGTTTCTTGATGAGTCTGGCTAACAGTTCATCAATTTTGTTTATCTTTTCAAAGAACCAGCTCTTGGTTTCATTGATCTCTTGTATTATTTCTTTGGTCTCTATGTCATTTATTTCTGCTCTAATTTTTGTTATTATCATCTTGTTGTTTTCTTTCTAATTCTTTAAATTGTAGGGTTAAATAGTTTATTATTAACTTTTCTTATTTTTGAGGTAGGCCGGTAGTGCTATGAACTTCCCTCTCAGGACTGCTTTCGTTGTGTCCGATAGATTTTGGGTTGTTGTGTGTTCATTTTGATTTGTTTTTGGTAAGTTTTTGATTTCTTTCTTGATTTCATTGGTAACACATTCATTGTTTAATAACATGCTATTTAGCTTCCATGTGTTTGAATGTTTTTGAGTGTTTTTACTATATTTGATTTCTAATTTCATTCCATTGTGATCTGAGAAGATGCTTGATATGATTTCAATCTTCTTGAACTTGTAGAGACTTGTTTTGTGTCCTAACATGTAGTCTATCTTGAGAATGTCCCATGTACACTTGAGAAGAATGTATATTATGCATCTTTGGGGTGAAATGTTCTCTAAATGTCAATTAAACTCATTTGATCCAGTGTGCCATTTAGAATATATGTTTCCTTGTTAATTTTTTATCTGGAGGATATATCCAGTTAAGTCAGTGAGGTGTCAAAGTCTCCTACAATGACTGTATTCCTGTCGATCTCTCCTTTAAAGTCCTCTGGAAGTTCTTTTATATATTTAGGTGCTCCTATATTGGGTGCATATATGTTTACCAGGGTTATATCCACTTGTTTGATTGATCCCTTTAGTATTATGTAGTGACCTTTACTGTCTCTTGTGATGGCCTTCATTTTGAAGTCTATGAATATTGCCACCCTAGCTTTTTTTTTTTTTTTTCGTTTCCATTTGTCTGAAAATTTTTTTTTCATCCCTTCACTCTTATCCTGTATGAGTCTTTTGTTCTGAGGTGAGTCTCTTGTAGACAGCATATAATTGGGTCATGTTGTCGTATTCATTCAGCTACCCTATGTCTTTTGATTGGAGCATTTAATCCTTTTACATTTAAGATTATTATTGATAGGTACTTATTTATTGCCTTTTAATTATTTATGCCTATGTTTCTCTGTCTCTCTATTTCTTCTTCTCATTACAGCAGTCCCTTTAGTATTTCTTGCAGTGCTGGTTTAATGGTAATAAAGTCCTTTAGCCTTTTTTTTTTAATCTGGGAAGCTCTTTATTTCACCATCTATTACTAGCCTTGCTGGATATAGTAATCTTGGTTTAAGATCCTTGCTTTTCATTACCTTGAATACTTCATGCCATTCCCTTCTGACCTGTAGAATTCTGTTGAGAAATCATTTGACAGCCTTATGGGAGCTCCTTTTAGGCAACAAATTGCTTTTCTCTTGCTGTCTTTAAGATTCTCTCTTTGTCTTTAATTTTTGGCATTTTAATTATGATTTGTTTGGGCCTGGGCCTGGACCTGTTTGGGGTCTTATTGTTTGGGACTCTCTGTGCCTCCTGAATTTGTGTGACTTTTTGCTTCACAGGTTAGGGAAGTTTCCTACCATTATTTCTTCAAACACCTTCTCTATCCCTTGCTCCCTTTCTTCCCTTTCTGGTATACCTATTATGTGAATATTGTTACATTTCATGTTGTCCCACAGCTCCCTTAAGCCGTCCTACTGTTTTTTTCTTTTTGGTTCTCTGGTTGAGTGATTTTTTTCTACCCAGTCTTCTAATTCACTGACCTGATCCACGGCTTCCCCTACTCTGCTGTGTATTCCTTCCACTGTGTTCTTTGTTAGTGCTATGTCATTCTTCATACTTACTATATCTTTTCTCATGCTCTTGAGCATCTTTGCCATTATTATTCTTAACTCTATGTCTGAGAAATTTCTTATCTTCATTTCATTTAGCTCTTCTTCTGGAGAATTCTCTCATTCTTTCATTTGGGGCTTGTTCTTTTGTCTCCCCATTTGGGCTTCCTGTTTGGGTTTGTGTCTGTGTATTAGATAGATTTGCTATGACTCTCAATCTCTAGGGCAGGACAATGTCAGATGCTGTTTGTGACTGGCCCTGAATACCCTGTTTGGAGGTATCAGCAATCCACAGCTGGTGGCTCTCTCTGCTGGGGCTGGGTCCCTTTGAAAAGGACCAAGATGTGCATCAGAGTCTGCTTTTCATATCCCTTGGCCTGGGATTAGGTCAGGCAAATACTCAAAGCCTCCAGAGACCCACCTCTGCCTGCAATCCCATTGACCCTCAGTCTTGATTAGCCTCAGGCTATCGACCACAATGTGGGGTGAGAGGTCTTCCAATAGGGTGGGGTAACTTCCTTCCCCCCAGGTGAAAACCTCCTGGATAGCAAAGGTCCACTGGAGAAAGATGTCCTCCACAGCATGAGGGAATGACTCAGCACGGGAAACCAGGGTGGCTGCCCTCCAAGCTCCAGCCCCAGAGCCCCCAGTCCTGGCTTCTGCTCACACAGCTCCAATCCACTCTGCCAGAGCCCAAGGTGAGTGGCTGCACATGATATTTAGTGCATTGGCCCTTTAAGAGGGTGCCTGCATTTTCAGCCATCTCTCTGTGGCAGACAGCAACCCAGCTACTTTTCACAGCCAGATGTTATGTGGGCACCTTTCTCAGTTCTGGGGCTCTGGGCTGGGGAGCCCAGCTTGGGGTTTAGACCCCAGAGTTCTCAGTGGGAATCCCCCCACAGCTGAGATAATCTTCCCCCCCGCACCCCCGGAACTTCAGCTGCTGTCTGTGGGAACTAGTCTAGTTCTTTCATGCCTCTGCACTTACTACCAGTCTCTATGAGGTCTCCACTCTCTGTCCTTGGTTATAAGGTTCTGTCCAGCTAGTCTTCAGTTGGTTTGTCAGGGTGTTTTTTCTGTATTTTACTAGTAGTTGTATTTTCAGTTTGGTCCTGGGAGAGTGTCAATGTAGCTTCCACTTACTCTGCTGTCAGTTTGGAATCCTCTAAGCACTGTCATCCATATATTGTCCATTTTGTCAAGAAAAATTCTTTATAAAGCCATTAAATTGTGGAAGGGAGATATTCACATCACTAAACAATTTTAAATAATGGCAATTCTTGCCTGGCTGGTATTTCTCAGTGGTTGAGTGTCAACTTATGCACCAAAAGGTGGCTGGCTCCATTGCTGGTCAGGGCACATACCTGGGTTTCAGGCTTGATCCCCAGTAGGGGGCACGCAGGAGGCAGCTGATCAATGTTTTTCTCTCATCAATGTTTCTATCTCTCTTTCCATTCTCCCTCTCTCTCTAAAAATAAATTTAAAAAATTTTTTTAATAATAGCAGTTCTTTTAGTTTTCATTCATAAATATTCCCAAGAATGGATGGTAGGTCCTAGAACACGGAAGGGTGGGGGCAGGGACGTAGCATGTAGATGCCACCAACTCATTATAATTTAAGTAGATGTGAGTATTCTCAATTTTTTAATATTTGTGTAAGACTTGCCCCAGTGAACATGTAAGGTGTGGGATTCAGGTTGAGTCAAGAAGTCTTGGTAAATTATTTTACATTCTTTTCCTAGGCATAGCTTAATAAGTGATTTGATCTAATTTTTACTCTTTATTATTTCAGCCTGGGCTGTGCTCTGAACCAGAAGGGAGTCCATGTGATTCTGTTAGATATCAGCAGCCCTGCTCATACCATTCCAGAAGGAATCACGTTTATACGCGGAGACATCCGCCACCTCTCTGATATAGAGAAAGCCTTCCAGGATGTGGACATAACTTGTGTGTTCCATATTGCCTCTTATGGTATGTCAGGGCGGGAGCAGCTAAATCGAAAGCTGATCGAAGAAGTCAATGTGGGGGGCACAGACAACATCCTCCAGGCTTGCTGGAGGAGAGGGGTGCCAAGATTAGTTTACACTAGCACTTTCAATGTTGTGTTTGGAGGTCAAGTTATCAAAAATGGAGATGAATCTCTCCCTTACGTACCTCTTCACCTCCATCCTGATCACTACTCTCGGACCAAATCTATTGCAGAGAAGAAGGTGCTAGAAGCCAATGGTACATCCCTGGATAAAAGCAATGGTGTCTTAAGAACTTGTGCTCTGAGGCCAGCTGGCATATATGGGCCTGGAGAACAAAGGCACCTTCCTAGAATAGTGAGCTATATTGAGAGGGGTCTGTTCAAGTTTGTGTACGGGGATCCCAAGAGCCTGGTTGAATTTGTCCACGTGGATAACTTGGTGCAGGCTCACATTCTGGCCTCAGAGGCCCTGAAAGCTAACAAGGGCTACATTGCCTCTGGGAAGCCCTACTTCATCTCAGATGGCATACCCGTAAACAACTTTGAGTTCTTCCGGCCTTTGGTTGAGGGCCTGGGCTACTCATTCCCATCCATTCGCCTACCCTTGAACCTCATCTACTGTTTTGCTTTCCTATCAGAGATGGCCTACTTTGTTTTGGGGCAACTCTACAACTTCCAGCCCTTCCTCACCCGCACAGAAGTTAATAAAACTGGCATCACACATTACTTTAGCCTAGAGAAGGCCAAGAAGGAGCTAGGTTATGAGCCTCAGCCATTTGACCTCCAGGAAATAGTAGAATGGTTTAAAGCCCGTGGTCATGGCAGAAGTCCTGGGAGTCATGACTCTGAGTGTCTTATTTGGGTTGGGCTGTTGGTCTTACTCTTGGTTGTAGCAGTTTCTACATGGCTGTCCTTTGTGGGTTTTTCACTGTGAAGGGTGAGTTAAGAATAAGGAGCTGACCACACTTGCTGAGATGGTTTCACAAAGAAAGAGGACTTCTTAATCGGTATAGATATCTGGTGCCAAATTTTGGCTCTTCAAATTGCTACTTAAGGATAGATTATTGGATTAAGTTTTAATTTCTTATCTCCTTGTACTAATCCTGATGGGAGAAAAAAGAGGCAGATAAATTTGAAAATTGTTTTTGTGTGTGTGTGTGTCCTCCCTCTTTAGATAGATGCAGTAGTAGTCATTTTGGAGCCATGGAGCTAAACTTAGTTAGATTAGAAATGCCTTACCTGAATTTGTCAGAAGCCAAAAATGTACTTATTTTCATTCCATACACTATGATTCTACTTAAAAGGGACTAAAACACACGCTGATACAGGAATGACAAACTGCTAACAGGCTTAAGATGTATGAAAAACACCAAATTGGGCCAGATCCCTACAGACCAACGCTCTGGGGAGATGGTGGGTGTTGTAGGGGAGGCATTAGCTATTCATAGCATATGTTTTGGGAATTAGTCTTTGCCTGTTGTGATATAAGCATATTACAGCTGTGTGACCATGTGCTAATGTTTGATGTTTAAACTAATAGACTTTTATCTCACCTCATAAGATTCTTTTGAGGATTAAATTAGACGCAGGATGTAAAGTTCCACTCAACAAAGTTAAGCCATTATTTTTAATATTGTTACTATACATTCCTTATGAGGGTTTTCTTACTCAGGTATTCTGTTGCAAAGGTGTTGTTGCTACTAATCTTTCTGGAATGCCCTCAGAGTCTGTAACAAATGTGTTTGAATATACTCACTGTTTGTGATCTTTTAGTCTCTGAGAACAGGTTGAAGTTTAGGAAACAGCTAAAAATCCGATGATTAAGGAAGATGAGCAAGCTAATGACGCCATTTATAATTAAAAACAAAGCACAACTGTAAACTAATAGATTGGTTTTCTTACTGGGGAGAATTCTGATTCTCTGAAGGCAATTTCCAATGAGGAATGTTTTGAACAATGGCGGCATTGTCTGTCCACCCATGAGGACTGCCTTGGAAGATACTCAAGTTGCACCATCACATAGGAACCACAGTGGAAAGAAGACAGAGCATCTTACCCATTCCATTGTTCCAGCTACAGAAAGGACAGTATTAAAATATTATAAAACATTATAGATTGCTGTGGAAAATAATGTTAGAGTTGTCCTGAGAGTATTTGTAGAAGGAGAATGCTAGATAAACAGTTCCTGGTGAATGCTGCCTGGATGTTTTGGATAAAGTGTTCAACCTCATACCAGAAGGCCTGCAATTATAAATATTTTATGTGGTCTTAACCAAGTAACCGAAGCCTCTTATGCCTTAGTTCCCTCACTTGGGAAATGGGAATGATGTATGATCATTTATAATCAAGTTTATAACCATCTTTCTATAAACCCACCTGCCCATCACATAGGGTTTGTTGTGAACATAAAATAAGATGTGGTGAAAATACTTTTACTGTATAAATTGTAACATAAGTGTGGTAGTAATGGTTGTTTTTGGTGAAATATTTTTGGAATCTTATAAGATGCTTTTGCTTTTTAGTCCCGGGGTAACTTGCATGAGCACCTACAGAATATCTAACACTCTAGGTGCTATGAAGCAGGTTTCTCTGCCCTTCACAGTCTTACAGTCTGGTAATGACATGGCGTGTCCATATGAGAAGGTCACTGATAGACCAGATAAGTACAGTAAAACATTTGTTCATTGCCATTGAGAGGTATCACAGACTTTCAAAGCATGTTTTTAATGAAGTCTTTCAAAAGATTGATAGATACTTCTCAGTTTTCTCAAGCCAAGTATATTGAGCTTAGTGGGGCTTCACTTGTTTTTAAAATGTTTTTGTTTTTGTTCCCACACTCAATAAATCTAAATGAAATTCAGGATTGATATGTGGACTTTATTGTCATCCAGGTATGAGACATTTGGCCATTTCACATATTTGACATAGTTATCTACTCTATCCTTGAAACATAGTTTATTTACTTTCCATGAACTCACACTCTTCTGGTCTTTCTCCTTGTATTAATGTTCTCTTGCTACATAATAAATTACCCTAAGACATATCATCTTAAAGCAATAAACAGTGCCTCCTAGTTTCTATGGGTCCGGTATTTGGGTATGCCAACTCTTGCTCAGAATCTCTCATGAGGGTAATCTCATGGTGTTGGCTGGCACTGCAGTCATCTGCAAGATTGACTAGACCTAGAGAATCCACTTCCAGAATGGTCCATCCACGTGACTGTTGGCAGGAAACCTCAGTTCCACACCATGTGGGCATCTTTATAAGATTGCTTGAATGTCCTCATGACATGGCAACTGGTTTCCCTCAGAGCAGATAATCCAAGAGAGCAATGTAGGAGCCGCAATATCTTTCGTGACTTAACCCTGAAAAATCACACACAGTCACTCCCCAGTCACTGCTTACATAGATCAATACTATTCAGTGTGGGAGGGAATTACCCAGTGGTGTAAATAGCAGAAGATGGGGAACGTTGAGGGCCACCTTAGAGTCTGGGCTCTGGCGCCACCCTCTGAGTCATCCTTTTCTATGAAAGGTACTCCATATTTACAGCTACATAGTTTTCTCATTTTGCTTCCACCCAGGAGAAATTAGGGGTGGAGGGGGTCCAAAAGCCTCTTTAGATTTTATGCTGAATCTCTTTCACTTCAACGTGGTAGTGTTACTGTGAATAAAATTATTTTGAACACTGTTTCCCCCTGAGTCTTATTTGCAGTTGACTCCAATATAAAAAAGCTATGTCCACAAATTTCTTTGAGATAAGTCCTCTGTTTTGGGTTTCTGCTCCTTAATATTCTTATTGTCAGTACAACTCTCGGAGGCACCACTACATGTCTCTCTGAGGTCTCAAAGGTTTTATGCCCATAACCTTGGCCATGCACCGTCATTTCTACAATATATTAGCTACATAGGTTACATTAGCTCAACTCCATGTGGGAGGAGATCACACAAGGACATGAATACCAGAAGATGGGGATCATTGGAGTCTGCTACCACACCTGCATCTCACCAGTTTTCTTTTCTCCTCCACTCCCATTTAAAATGGTAGATTTCTTTAGTGTTCAGAGCTAGGTCCTCTTTTAATTCAATACTAATAATTTTTCCCTAAGTGATCTTGTCCAAATCCCTGACTTTAATTTCTATCTCTATTCTAAATATATAGTTCTAACTTTATAGTTCCAGCCCAGACCATTCTTCTGAGCGCCAGACCCATCTATCCACCTACCTCTGCATCTGCACCTGGGCATTTCATATGTACCTTTCAGTCAGTATCCAAAATGGAATTCACAATCCCTCCAAATTCTTACAGGCTTGCTTTCCCTGGTAAATGTCACCATTATCTATTGAATTTCTCATGCCAGAAATCAGGGGTAGTCTTGATCCCTGCCTCCCGTTAACTTGGCACACTTAACCCATCTTTAAGCCCATTGATTCTACCTTCTGCTCATGCTCAAAACTGCCCCGTAGACAGGTGTCATCTCTCTCCCCTATACTCCAACAATAACCTCCTTTCTCTTCCACCTACATCCATTCTTCCCTCCCTTCAATCCATTCTTCATATGCCAGGCAAAGGGATGCTATAAAGATGTAAATCTAAAAAAAAAAAAAAAAAAAAAAAAAAAAAAAAAAAAAAGAAGTAAATCTGTTACTTCCCTGCTCAAAACTCCATGGTGCAGGTTGAATATCTTTATTGTGACCCAAAAGGCCTTGTCTGATCTGGCTCCTACCTACTGCTCCATACTCGTCTCACACCATACTTCTCTGCCCTCACTGCATCCTTTCTGTAGGTTTGTGAGTTCCAAGTTCCTCCCTCATGCCCCCACTCTTTTTTTGACTGCATAATGTTTATTTCATGCCTCAGCTAAAGTCTCTTCTTCCAGAGGCCTTCCATGATTGCAACAAGTTAGGTCTGGTCCTGCTACAAGCTCTTATAGCACCCTGCTTATCTTCTGTAGTTTTTATCACAACTGTAATAGTTTGTAATTATTTGTCTAATGTTTGTAAGTTCCATGAGGTCAGGACCATTGTCTTGCTTACTACTGTATCCCTAGTGTTTAGCACAAAACAGGAGTTCAATAAGTATTTCTTAAATGAATGCTATTTTTCCCCTTTTGGCACATATACATAATTTACTCTTTCTAATCTGTTGAAGACTGGGAAAAATAGCCAATCTATTATGATTGTTTGTAAACTAAATCAACACTAGATAAGATCTAGTAAATACGTGAGGTCATTCAGTATGTGATACGGTGGAGCTTTTAAATGCTGAGAGATATTTAGAGAAGGGGGAGGAATGTGGAAAGTTATTTGTGCTCACTCCAAATCTCAGCTGCAAACTGACCACTTGAAAGAACTCAATTTATTACCTGAAAGGTAACTCCCTTCCTAAGGTCAGGAGATAATGAATTCCATTAGTTCTAGGGTTCCCAGCTGCACTCACCTTCCCTCAATCTTTGATTGAATCCCCCAAATGCATAAAACTAGGGAACAGTGTTCACACTTGTGCATGTGAGGCACTGCAAGATACCTGGGCATAAGCCACCCAGCACTGCCACCAAGGTGACACTTCCAAGGAGTAGGTGGCCAATTATCCATTAGCCTGTTGGAAGATCACATTGGACAAAAGAGCCCTGTAGTGGAACCCAACGGTAATGCAAAAACTATTCATGTCTGGAGGCCAAATGACTAATGCTGGCATCATATTACCGAGGCTATAGTATTTCTCAAGCCTGCAGCATAGGCCAGGGATTCTTTTCAAGAAAAGGTTTTATTTTCCTTAATCACCTAACATGGTAATTATGAGAAAGCCAATACTGCTTTGTCATAGTTTCAATAAGTTTATTAACAATTGTAGGGGTGTCCCCTGCTTTCTGTTCCTTTCCAAATCCCTACCAGTTCAGGGAGCCTTACAGCAGGTTAGAAATAGCCTGTAGAATTCAACTCTCAGTACGACCCAGCTGTGAACCCTAGGGCTAATGGCCTGGCCCCCTTGTTTGCTGGCCTTGGCAGCCAACACTAGTAGTTCCTGTCTTATTAAAATTGTCACTGTTTGCTAGCATCCCTTTACTTTAGAGCAGTGGTTCTCAACCTTGGCTGCACATTAGAATCAACTGGGAATCTTTTTAAAATCCTGATTTCTGGGTCTCATCCTCCAGAAATTCTGTTTCTTTGTTATGGCGTGGGGCCACAACATTAGTAACACATATATAATTACATATTGTTTTTGTGATTAATCACTACGCTTTAATTATGTTCAATTTGTAACAATGAAATTAGGGGTCACCACAACATGAGAAGCTGTATTAAAGGGTCTCGGCATTAGGAAGGTTGAGAACCACTGCTTTAGAGAATGATACCCCATTCCCTTTTTTATGCGAGAAACCCATTCCTAGCCCTTCCATAGGGCTGACCACCAATTGCAAGGCCTGGCCAATCAGAAGCCTGCCATAAGTTTTGACGGCAAGCATTGGGACAAGGTGGGCCAATCCACGAGCTCTTCTCAACTTTTCTCCGGTGTGGTTTGGAGAAACTCTCTATGCAGTGGCTGCTTCATCAGGAGGCTAGGCTTTGGGGCTGCCCTGGACTCTCCTGCCCCAAAGAGAAACGGAGCTCTGATAATGTTGTTTGGGTTCCTGGCTGCAGCTGCGAGTCAAGGACACCAGGAAACTCAGAGAAAACGGGGCCTTGAAAACATCATTGGGGCTCTGCCACCCAGGCGAGCCCAAGGCTAACTTCATCCTGGATCACCCCATCACGTGAGTCTCAGAACATTTTCTTTTCTGCTTTAAAGTCTTTAGAATTGGCTCCCCCCCCCCCCCCCCCCCCCCCCCCCCATAGAGTCTCCACAGTCCACTCCTGGACACGGGTGACCATACTCTGTGGTTTTCTAAGTGTGTGCCCCCTTCCTTACAGAGGAGCTCACTTTTAGCCCCTGGGGAACCGAACGTTTGCTGGCGTTCTTCCTCCAGAATCCGACTGATTTCCTTTTCTAGAATCATGTATAGTTGGGCTGGACCCACCTTTAAGCAGTTTAGTTCAAAGTCTCCTGTTCTATGGTAAGAAACTTTGACAAAGTGATTTGTACCCCAGAATTTTGGCGTCCGGTGAGGGCAGGGACTATGTGCTTTGTAAACTTCTATATCCAGAGAACGCAGAACTTATTTGCCCAATAAGTGCTTGCTGATTGACTGAGTACATTGATCAGCCAGTTGGTTTTATCTGAGATTCTGACTGATTTCCCAGTTACCCCTTACTTTAAGGTTGTGACTTCCAAGCCTTACCTGAAAATAAGAACAATGGAGGCCCAAGTTAAAAAAAAAAAAGGCCAGTATTCAATACAGTGTTATTAATTACAATCATCATGTGGTTTATTAGATCTCTAGATTTATTTCAGGTGCTCTCATCAAAAAAGAAGTAACTATGTGAGGAGAAATGTTAATTAGCTTGACTGTAGTAAGCATTTCACTTTCTACATGTATATCAAATAATCATGGTGTCCACCTCAAATATATACAATTTTTATTTAAAAAATAGACTCCAGAGAAGTGATGTCATTCAGAATAGCAGAGTGGGAAACCCTAAGGTTCAGTCCTTATAGCCACAACAGCCAGTAAATTGGTGGCAGGTGTGTGTCGGGGGAGATGATTAGAACCAACAATTTCAGAACTCTTGATGTCTACTTTACCACAATACAAAATACAGAGTGTCCCCCAAAAATGTATACACTACTAAAAACTGATAGCTCAATTGATGTTTCTTTCTTTTCAGATTTAACCCATTGGAATTAATAATTATTCAAAGTGTATATACATTTTTGGGGGGCACCCTATATACACACACATACTCCAAATTCTTCCCCTGGTTGTTCTGATTCAGAAGGCCTGTGTGGGCTGGAACTCCTCATTCCAGGTGTTTCTTATCTCCCAACAAGGAGGTGAAATGCTGCCAGATCCCAAACACTTGCTCCCTTTGCAACATGCTAAGTGAGAGGCTCCTGGGTTCTCCATTGCTCTCCCCTTCCCAGTGCTTTGCTACAGCAGGTGTTCCACATACCTTCGCTGAATGAAAGAATGAGGAGATGGGACCCCCAAAAGGACCTCCCTCCTCCTCCTTTCTGCAGGCCCAATTGTTTGTTGACTGACAAACAGTGCCACATCTCAGCACTGACTTCTTCACCTGCCTGCAACCTGCTTCCTTTGGTCAAAGGGTTCCTGTTGGAACCCATCCAGCCGGGCCTGGTCACCTGATCTTTTAACACCAAATAGCCATTCTTACCTGAAATGGAATCGGTGAGACCCCAGCATCTCTAAGCTGGACACACTCATATAATGTTACCCTTCTGTATTTAGGTCTCATGCCCCAGGAAAGATACCTTTGTCATTGAACTCAAATAATTGTGACTGAGGCAAAATCTAGCTTACTACAAAGAAATTATCATAGAAAAGTGACCTGGGAAAATGTCTTTCAGCCAACAAGGGGTTCATCTGCAGTAATTTGTAATGTTTATTTTAACAGAGCTGGTTGAGGTAAAATAATTTTTAAATTCTGCATTACTAATATGGAGGATTTTAATCCTGGCAAATATTCTAAGTGTCTTTTCCCCCAGTCACCCAGGGTTGTCTATTACAGATCTAAAAATAAAATACTTCTTTACCAATATATATTTAAATTTTTCTTCAAGGCACATGCAATTTATTTTTTAATGTCTCTTTTTAATTTATTTTTTTTAAAGAGCGAGAGGAAGGGAGAGAAAAAGATAGAGAAACATCTATTGGTTGCCGCAATGCAATTGTTCCAACCATGGATGGAACCCACCCTCTTTTGGTGTAAGGGATGCCCCTCCAACCAACTAAGCCACACTAGCCAGGGGGAGGTACATTTAATTTAATATCAAGAGTGCGATACAAGAGGTCCCAATACAATGAAGGAACACATTCCCCCATTAACACCAACAACAGTGCTCTTTCAACATGAGCTTGCTGAATGGAATGGGGATTTAATAAATTTCACTACTAAGAAAATAACACAGTGAGTCTTATCATAGTCAATATCCTTATACAATCTAGTTTTGAATTGAATGTTTATAATGCTTCAAACAGTTTACACCTGAAATTTGATATCACTCCTTCATGTTTGTAGATAATCCTCAAGATTATCTACAGTATTAACAACCATTCAAAGAACAATTGATTAAAACCACATTGATTTAAGGCTCATTTAAGTGAACTAAATGGTTAAATATATAAACTACTGGTACTGACATCTATGATTTGATTCTCTCATAACTATTACGTTTTCTTAGCAAACAAACCCTTTAAAGACATAAGTCACTTCATTTGAGTTCTGACCCAGAAATTTAATCATGAAATCCAGTCTTATTGGAACAACTGATATAGACTGTAAGTCACTGTGCCCAAGGTTAAGAGCAATGCATATCCTATTTTTACATTTTATTGGAATTTTACATGTTCAATTCATGATTTTAATTCTCCAGGTTATCATTCCTCCAAACTCTCTGAAGACACTGAAACATTTCTCCATTGTCCAGGTGTTCTAGAAGGGGACTTTTTCAGAGGTGGCCACTTCTTTGGAATAGTCCGACGCCATCAGGCCTCTGAAGCAAGGGGAAGCGGAAGAGCAAAAAACTGAAGAAGCACAAGGCTCATCAGGTAAGTGTTACATTAACTATTACAAACAGGATAGTATAAGAATGTGGCTTTTTTTTTTTGGCTCAAAAAATCTGAGTCTTGTTGTGGAAACGAGTACTTGGCTGTCTACAACTGCTTTCTCGTATGGGACTGTCAGGGAAGTCTTGGCTGAGGAGTGTGATTTGTCTGCCTATCCGGTGTAAACTTCCAGGCACTCAGTTCATTTGGGGCTTGTTCCAGTTTGTCTTCAGTCTGTTCCAGTTCAACTTTCATTTTTTAGGAAAAATGAGTTGATCGCTGGGTCTGTCATTGTGGATCTTAGCATTGGGCGGCAGGACTTGCTGGAGGAACTGGATTTGAGGAGTGCACTCCATCATTTGCTCCTTGGTTGCTAGTCGAATTGCAAGCATGTTTGACCTGCGTGCAGACTCTGGCTGCTGTTGCTTTTGTTTTTCTTCCAGCTCCCTTAAGCCAGCTATGTCACTAGAGTTCAGATCTGTGCACTTGCCCTCCAAAGCTTGTGATATGCTTCATGGCATTTCCATCTTAAAATCAACTCATCTTGTCCTTTTGGGGAAGAGATTGCTCATTGGTCATCTTGAATTCTCTCCAGACTGAGGCTGCGGGTGCATGGGTGCCCCCCAGTTACATAGGTGGAAGCCACACTGACTGCCTAGGCCAGTGGTCGGCAAACTGCGGCCCCTTGAGTGTGGCTCTCCCACAAAATACCACGTGCGGGCGCGCATGTACAGTGCGATTGAAACTTCGTGGCCACACTCAAGAGGCCAAAGAGCCGCATGTGGCTTGCGAGCCGCAGTTTGCCGACCACTGGCCTATGCCACCCGACCTGCTGCTGGTCCCGCTTCTTTGGAGCCGCAGTTTGCCGACCACTGGCCTATGCCACCCGACCTGCTGCTGGCCCCGCTTCTTTGGTTTCAGCCCTACATTCCCCTTTATTTTGGGGTCTTGCCACCACCAACGGTGCTGAAGGAGAAAGCGAGGCTGCCACCCTTATATTTTTAAATTGTTACGAGGATGAGTCATCTTGTGCTCCTAACCATTCCTAGTGTCCTGAAATGCTCCCCAGCTTTAGAGGAATGATTTGCTGTGTTGCTGGGGCAACTGCAACATCCCCACTGAGTGTGGTCAAGTAACTGCCACTGAGAGTTTGCTTCTAGATCTGCTCAACATTGGGATAATGATCGATATTAACCCTCCTTGGCTAAATTACTCAAAGATGATCATTAAGATTTAATTGTAACTATTTGTTGTGTTTGTGTACTATGTGCAAGGCTATTTCGTAAGCTCATATAGTTCTCTCAATGACTTTAAGAAGTATGTATATGTATTTCCAGTTTACATGTGAAGAAATGGAGGTTTAGGGAAGTGGAGAATCTTGCTCAAGATCATCCAGAGTCACTCTGCTAGGAAGTGGCAAAGCTTGGATTTGAGCCAGGTCCATTGAATTCAGACACCAAACTCTTGACTACCATGTCTGAGGTGGCTTCATGGTTTTAGCATGACAGTATTCAAGGCCAAACATCACCCAAACTGCATTTGCAATGAAAAATAAACTATCTTATTTATTTGTTGCTAAAAACATGTAACTGTACATAGTGACTTTGGCTGCACAAACTCTTAAGTTATATAAAAGAAACAAAGCATTATTTTACCATTAGAATGTGTGTGGGGTGGGGCTGGTGTGTGTATGTATGTGTACACATGTCGGTGTTAACATATTAAAATTCAACTTATTTAAAGTAAGGAATATGAAATGTTAGCACTAATAACCTCTAGGACAGGGGTAAGCAACCTTTTTGTGAGTGCGTACCAAAACCAGCAAAATCTCTGACTCAAAATTCTTCTGCGTGCCAACCCTAATTTTTTGAGAACATGTTACTCCTACTTGATATCTC